ACTGCGTCCTGGATGTGCTGAAGAAGTTCCCGAGTGTATGAGCCTTCTGAAGGTTCTGCTGTTAGATAGTTTATTTCCTCTGGGGGTTCTGCATGCGGAGAGGGGTTTGTGTTGCTGCTGTCAGCTGCTGCGGCTGCAGCAGCTGGGGTAGAGGGCGCCGCATCCCCGGGAGCATAGTGAAGAAAACGAGAAGAAATGCACAATAAATTCACAGCCCCAGCCTTCTGCTGCTCTGCTGGAGCCAGAAGATGCAGATTCCAGCAACCGGGGCGCAGAGGCGCAACAGCAACTGCTTGTCGTACAGCAGCAGCAACTGCTGCTGTTGGCCGTGTGTCTGGCTGTCTAGCTGTTGAGAGTGAAGAAGAAGAAAGACGAATCCTTCTGTTTAAATGATGGCAGCTGTATGTGGATACCGAAACAGGAGAGGGGGGCAGAGAGAAGCTGCCGCAGTTTGCCCCCGCAACAGAACGAGAAAACTGTCGTATGGAGGAGCTCTTCACGCCGGAATTCAACAAAGAACTCGGCAAAGAAGAAACGCAAGAAGAGAAAACACGCGACGCTATCGCCATCGCTGCATTTCGGGTTTCTCCCCCCTGGGCGGTGCTGAAACGGCAGACGACGGCGGAGGCGGCAGCAGCAGTCCTTGCCTAATGGAGGTCCATCATCAGAGACTTTAATTGTGAAACCAAAAAATTAAAACATTTATCTCTTTGTTTGTACTGTTGGAGAATAGATTCAGCGAGTGATTCCACCTGAAACGCTCACCGGTTTCCGCAGGCAGCAGCGCCTTTTGCACGTCTGCCGTTGCGCAGGGAAACCTCACCTAAAAGTTGTATCCCATTGATCAGAACGATTTGATTTTTATAATTAAATTAAAGTCAATGAATTAATTTGGAGAAGATTAAAGCTGAGGCCTGGAAGAGATCCAGACCTTCGCTACGATTGATGGTCGCATGCAGGGGTGGTGGCTACGCCTCCGTCGCATTGTGACATTCGAAATGAAATAAAGGAAATCTGCGTTTCCTCCTTCTGCACGATCTCCAGTATTTAGAATACTTTGATATCGTCTTTTTCGCGGAAACCGAGATTTACGTTATGGCCTCTCGGTACCCGCTACACAATTTGTGCAGCTTTTTGAGTGGAAAGCGCAATTAAAGTCTAAATTATAGATCATACACTTCATATTCAAGATATTTGGGAGATATTACCAGAGGAATGATTCATCTCCTGCGACAAAGAAGCAACAACAGGCGACGGTGCTGTCCGCTTTCGCACGGGTCTGAGCGACAGCGCTCATGGAGGCTTTTCTTTTTCCCTTGAATCGGCCCTTTTCTGCACTTGTCTCTGCGAGGAGAAGTGGTTTCCTTCGGCTGTTCAAAGAGGGAACGCAGACTGAGTCAATTGGGTCGTTCGTTGTCCGCCTTGGGCAAATACAGCAAAGAGGATGCGCCTCGTGCTGCACCCAGGAGGCATCGCTGCGTGCATCTTCGTCTGGATTTGTTGGCTGGTGGTGAAGATCGCCACAAATATCCTCTTCTTCAATGTCGCCTTCGCCGATGTAGCCACTGCAGACGGCTCGCGCACCATACGAGGACCGGCGGGGGGTGAGTTGCAGTTGCAGTCGTGTTTTCATACCGACGAAGCACTCCTATATTTGAAACTAAAATTAAATTATATTTGTGTAGAATAAGTACAAGACTGTGCAACTCGTTTCCCTTGAAATGCCGCTCATACAGAGCGACACGAAGAGAGGAAACCTGCAAACGCCGAGCAGTGACTCTCGATTGATCACTCACTCCCCCCAGAATTGGAAAATAAAAAAAGAATTCCTACAGCTGACAGACGGAATACTGGCGAAAGTTTTTTTGTTCAGGGAGACCGCCGCTGACCTTCCTCGGAAACATCCTGAAAGTGCTTTTCGAGTGCGTCACCTGGCTAGGGCTTTTGTCTCACCTCGCCACGTTGTTTACGGATCCCGGCTCGACGAAGAGGGCTCCGGTGCGTCTCATCGTAGCTGCTGCAAAGCTTCAGAGAAACAGAAAGCTGTATAGCTCAGTTCAGGTTANCCGGTGCGTCTCATCGTAGCTGCTGCAAAGCTTCAGAGAAACAGAAAGCTGTATAGCTCAGTTCAGGTTATCTCGTGAGGAGAGTGAAGTACTCGTCGAGCAGTCTGGGTTCATCTGAGGCGTGAATCGTGCATCTGCAGTCCACCCCTCCGGAGGACTTCAAGGGAAAAACAAACTTTTGCGCCAAATGTAAAAATCGATGGAAGCCACCTCGCGCTCATCACTGCAAAGTCTGCAATGAGTAAGCTTTCTCTCCGGCAGTTTAACCCCACTTTAACAAATACACCTCCATGACAAGTTGCTGTATGATTGGATGGACTCAGTTTCCTCTTGCTTTCTTTCGCTCGACGGCTTGCAGGTGCATCATGAAGATGGATCATCACTGCCCCTGGGTCAACAACTGCATCGGATCCATGAATCAAAAGTACTTCTTCCTGTTCCTTACATACATGGGTAAGTGAGGCGGACTCACACTGACCGAATGCTTGCTGGGCGCACTCTACTTTTCGAAGAAAGCATCGACGTCTCTTTAAAGCGAAGTCCCGCGGGATTCTAGTTCAGCAGAGTGTTGAGGAAATCTGCTGTGGGGATCTGCGCATGTGTTGTTCGATGGCTTTTGACAGCTCTCTCTTGTCTTTCCAACATTGGCATTATCTTCTCGGCAGTCGGAAGATTCATAATCGCTTCTACGGAGCGCAAAAACGTAAGAAAGCGTGAGGACTTGCGTTAGCTGAGCTGCTTCAATCTGCGTATTTAATTTGCGGTTAGCGGCTTTGCAAGTGTGAGACGGTTTTCGTTGCGTTCAGCTTCTCATCGAACAGTGGACGTCAACGTATCCTGGATGGCTGGCTCCTTTGCTCCTTGGGGCATGTTTGCTAATTGACGTCGTTTTCCTACTCATCACGTTGGTATGCCAGGGAACCTATTTCTTCATAGTTTCGTGTAGGCTGTCCCCAAATGTGCAGTTTGATTTGGCTTCCTTCATCTTTTCCTCATATCACCTCACTCACGTCTTCTATTTTCGCTTGGTTCCAGGACTTTCTAGCAGAGCAGTGGGAAGCTCTCGAAAGCAACGCTACTCTAGTGGAAACGTACAGGAATACTCATGGACAGAAGGTACGCTAAATGCTATGAAGCTCCATGGTTTCTGATTTTCAGTGAAAATCATGCATCTTGTTGATATTTGCAGATGTACCCAAACAGCTGTCGGTTTTTGCTTGTTTATCGAAACTGCAGACTACTCTGTGGGAGCATTCCGTAGCTGTCTTTGGTCGACAGTGGTGGCTTTGGTGGCTACCTGTTCCGCCGAAAATCGTCCCGAACTGGACAGGTAAACTGTGCGCTCCTTGAACAAGGATAGAACATAGCTCGCATATAACCGAGAGCATGCACAACCAGCCAGTCGGTGTGGGAAATGTCTGCCTCTGCAGATCCCGAACTTAAGGACGAGAACCTCCGAAAGCAGGAGGGTTGCCCTGTGGCGGCACATGAGCTGCAGGAATTCGACCACAACTCGCCCAGGTCTTCAAAAAAATTAGAGTAGATTTTTCGGTCTGGATTATCAGGCTCCACGATCGTTCCAACTTTTGAGAGGCATTATGATCTCTCGATTCTGTTTTTTTGTGCCAGTTGGTTTTTCTTCGTGGACAAACCAAGGTTGAACAGTGCTTGCCTTGAGGTGTTTTGCTATTTTAGATGTTNGAAGCTAGCGCTATTATAAAAGTAACTTGCTACCCGACGGCCTTGACGGCAAAGAAAGTTGCAGTGTACATACAGCTGCAACGGTGATTGAACTTGCCGACGCGTAGTCGTGGCACATTTGAAACTACTACCGCCTTTTTTGTCCCTCAGCACCATCGTTCGTTCACGAATCTTTCGTACTAACAATGATTAGAGCAGCAGTAGTTCTAGCAGGCCTGGCGGTCCCTGCCTCGGCGCGCGATTGGCTCTCGAGCGAGAATCAGGCGCTGAAGTTGCCAGTATGGCCAACTGCAGGTTAGACTATACTTTTTTACTTTCTTGAGTTCATGTTCATCAACGCATCTCGTCACAGTTGAAAAGGTGCTGCTTTCTGAGGAACCTACCCCTGATGACTTCACTGAAGAATTGGAAAAGGGTTCACCAGCATCAAATATGTTGCCTGGCTTCACCACATTGGAAAACTACCCGAATCCAATGGTCAACTCGATGGCATGCAGAAGATGGGGCATGGAAGTTTCCTACGTTTGTGACCCAGGTACTGATTGATGAGCATGTGCCGTTAGGAGAATCTTTGCTGAATTCCACATTTCTTCAGACCACGTCTTCTCGAGCAGCACATTGGATAGGATTGAAGGTGAATTCTTCACCGCCGTTGTTTGGTAATAGGCGCGATTCAACGGTTTCCGTTTCTTTCAGAGCGCTTATCCAACATCCGCCACAACTCTTCTCACCGTTGCGTCGATGAATACGTCTCTTACCCGTAAGGATTGCTTGCGCGGCTTTTTTCTTAACGCAAATGACATGCACTGCAATATTCAGTTTCGGGGTTGCAATTGTTCAAGAGTTGCCATATGGCGTCGACGCGAACACGTTCGCAACTGAGCTGATTGGTAAGGCGACACACAACGACTTTCACATTCTTAGAAGCAAAGCGAACTGCATTCAGACCGTTGGGGACTTGGACACAGCAAGTGCCATGATGGCCTTCTACTGCTCTATGTTGCTTCCGACGGCGACGTTTCGCTCAAGTGGTATGTTGTTTAACTTCTGAACATCCTTAGTAACATTTACTGAACGCATTTGTTTCACAGGAAGAAAGGCACGTAACCAGAAACCTAACACTATGAGTATACATAATAATTAAGTGATGTTTGCCAACAGGAGTCGAGCCTGAGATCAACTTCAGGGTAAGCAGCTAATTCTGCGATAGAAGCCGAGACCGCTTTTTACTAATGGCAAACACAGACATACAGCGGCCTCTTGAGAGAGTTCAGAAAGAACGGAGGAAAGCTCTCAGCTGGGAGAGCACTTGAAGCCGACGTTATTGCGGTTGGACAACATCTGACAGGAGAAATGTAAGTTTACTACCGAGTTAATCAAATTGAAAACGAGGTCACACTGCGCGCAGCCTTCCTCCTCGTCAGACTCCACACCTTGCCGTTCTGCTCACGATCGCAAGCATTGTCGGCCTTGCGTATCTTGCATGCGCTGCCACTGTCATTTCAGTAAGCCAGTTTGATCCCCAAATGATAGCTCAAAGCTTACGGGGCCGTTGCAGGACGAGATTGCCAAGTATCGTTGATCGTCCTGGCGATGACGAATCTGGCCCTAGTGGATATCTGCATTATTCGAAACCAAGCAATTGCAAATATTTTTTGAACGTGCTACCCGGCAACTTGATATGTAGTTGTCACCACTCAGAATTGAAAGCGATTACTGTAATTCACGGCATATCAGTGCATAGAGGACAAACAGTTCTCAAGTCTCAAAACTCAAATAGTTGTAGCTGCAGAATGAATAGCCACAGATTTTCTAGTTCATCGGAAGGCCAAACGAAAACTCCCTAGGTGGGTAACACCCAGCGAAGGGAGAAATATCGGCGTCGGCAGCGCCACTGGGCGAGCCTCTCCAAATTCCATTTGCGATTTGTGACAGATGGGCGTCACTGAGTTTTCCTTCTCCCGCTGAACGCGCACACTCAAGCACCCCTAGGGATTCAATTGAATATAGCTATATAGGCAGCTATTACAGTTTCGAAAGTTGTGCAAACCGGTTAACAGCTTACTGGATAGCGTATGTTACAGTTGCCCCAACACGTCGAGTTGCGCACGGCATGCGCTCTTCAAATATATGATCGATAGCAAGAGTGATATCTTTCAATTGCTGAAAACAACAAGGCAACACCAATGTAGTTTTTTGAGTAACCGATAACTACGACGAGCTTGTGGTCGGTCGGACGGAAAGTCTGAGAGGCGTGCGCGCTCTGGAAGAATTTTCATCGACTACTTACGTGCAAGAAGGATTGAGGTTCTAGCCCCGACCGGCACTTGACTACTTTTGCAAGTCTCACAGTGGGTAGTTCATGGGCGGCGCGCTGAGCGTAAAGTCATACAGTTGAGAAAATGCACGTGGCCTTATTCCATGCAACCACGCCGTCTTGGTATTGTTGAGCAACAGCCAATGCTGATACAACAGCCAACTTTGCCTCATCTACAAGCATCGCTTTACTATGAAGTAGTGCTGATACATCATTCCTTACCAACGCTGCGTATTCTTCAAAGTCGTTGTCTCCTATGGAGATCAGATCTACTGTTCTCCTTGGCGAGATACAGTTGACTTGGAAGTGCTGGCGAATGACCTCCAAGAATTTCGTTTTCTGGATCCACAAATATAAGCATTTCAGTCGCTTCAAAAGCTGCAACGTTTTATTGTTGGTCTGCACCTCGGAGGCTTTATGGAGATAAATTGTTTCTAGGGTTTTAAGCTCACCTTGGCATTCATCCAATAACTAAAGTAAGCCGGTGCCTCGTGGATGCTTGGCTCCTCTCCAGTTGGACAAGAGCGAATGATAGGAATGTTCTCGTCATGGAGGAGCTGCACAACCTCTGGAAAGAGGGATTTCATTGCTGACAGCCACCTGACGCTCCTTGCATTCGTTACGATAACGACCGTCTCGCTCCACTTTTTGGCTCGCTTCAAGGTGCCTAGGATGCTGGGCGTTAGCTTGTTCGATGTGAGACGCTCCAGTTCTTCCTTTATTGCCTACGAAAAGTGCATTTTCACATCGGTTTGGCTGTCAAAATCTGAATGCGGCGACTGGCGGCGACTGGCAGCAGAATGGAAAGCATGCCTCATATTCATCTGTGAGCCCTCTCCAACAATATGTAGCCTCTGAAGGCTGGGCTCCGTTAATTCATCTATCCTCAAGGTTGATCGGAGACGAGTGGACTACTCACTTGGTATACTTCTTCATTCGTTGCATACTTATGTTTCTCTGCCGCGAAAGTTGATCTTATCCATTCCGTTGGAATGAGCGTGTCATCGAGGTCAAAAATGAGTATGGCAGAATGTCGCGAGTGCTGTTGGTCACTCCAAGTCAGCTTTTGCGGAGAAATCCTTGTTTCATATTCTTCCGAAGTTCCTTCAGATGAGACAAAATTTGTAAAACCTGTTTCTTCGTCGGCGCTGCCCGACGTACTGAGAGCTGGCTTTGTGTCATCGCTTACACTCCCACATTTGATTCTTTGTTCCTCCGATGCCTCGGCGGACTTTGTGGACTGCGAAGATCCCATTGTAGTTCTCGACACCCCCCGCACCCTTTGGTTTGCGTGAGGCACACAGTCCGGAAGGGGTGGCGCGCTAGCACCCCCCAGGGAAAGGATCCAAATGTGGTTCAACGTCCTTCCATCAGCTTTCTTGCATTCGATCTTATTTTTC